CACATTCTCCAGTGCTCCATGGAAAAGGTACACAGAAAAAGGCCAGGCCATTCCAGGGGAGAAAGAGTACTACATACTACAAAATAAACAGGCAGACTCACAGAAGATAAAGAAATAATTTTGTATCAAGGCTAAATTGAAAACATGTAATAGTAAAGCTACCCCATCAGACCAGAATGAAGCAGCAACAGTGATTTGCCATGTGAGAACAGATGGCCTGTGCCTTTAGGAAACAGGAGGCAATGGGGAACTTCAGTTTCCTCATGCAGATCAGGATATATTACCAAGATGAAATTTTAAATATAACTTACAAATAATTCCACTTTGTTAAACAGCAATGTATCACCTTAAAAAAAAATAAAATCTTTGGCCAGTGCAACTTCTACTTCATTTTAATTCTGACTTACTGGGCCAACAGAAGGTTTTTAGAACAGAAGATGTGTGCAAAAGAAGAAAACAGTACAAATTATTCCAAGTGATGATGTTTTTTCCTGATGATGTAGAAGAGATGAAGTAAATTCTTCTGGATAAAATCTACATATTTTCTACCCATACATGATGACAGGCCACCCAGCCAGTCTGCTAAATGATGGACAGATAAGAAATAGAAAGACTGAAGGAAAGATCAGAAAGAAGATACCTAGAATTTTTGGCTGCCGTTTGAAGAGCTCTGCAGAGGATCTGGAAAATCAGTCTTCCACAACAGACATGTTTAGAAAACTGAAGATTAAGAATTAAACTAAGTGGCAGGCAGAAGGGAGAAGCCCTGATTTATAGATCTATTAGGATAGCTGAGGTGCTTTTAGGAAGACTCAACAAGCACATCTGTGGTATCAGGCCAAAGGCCTTGGAAACTAGGATGTTCCAGGATAAAACTAAAGTTTCTCTAAAACTAGTAACTGGCTAAAAGAGAGGAAAACACATAGGAATGCAGAGCTAGGTTTGACAACAGAGTGCTCTTAGCACACAGGTCACACCTTGTGTACATGGAAAATTACTCAGGCCAACAAATAAAAAGTCTGAAAAGCTGCATCCTGCACCCCCAAGGTGAACAGGGGTGTAACCAGGGCAAGCACAGTGTGCCCATCTTCTTAGCCTTTCCTTGAGCATCATCTCTTGGTCACTGGTAGAGAAAGGACTGGAGCAATCCAGGGGTTTGGGCTGAGCAGCTGAGTATATGATCCTGTAATCAAAACCTTTTCACCAGGCATCAATGCCTCCCTTTGTCTTTTCCTGTCTGGCTGGGAGGCCACCAAAGCTTTGTACCCAGGCAGCTCCTGGGCTGACAATGGGCCTGACAGCATCTCCTGCTGCACAGACAGAGAGGAATCCACTTCCACCTGCCACAGCTGACACCAGATCTCTTTCTGAAGGCTGGGATGCCTCATTTCTTCTAAGAGGAAATCTGTGCCCCAGGCATTCCGTGCTCTCCATTGCACCTGTCTGGCTGGAGCCAGCCCAGGATCCAGTTTGTTCCCTTCATATTGCTCACCAAATTAAAGATGACACAGCTTGACACCAAAAGGAAAGGGTTTCCAAACACATCTTGTTTGATTAGCTCTACAGTCCATCACACTGTCAACATCTTCCTTCTCAACTACAAAAAAAAGATCCTTTTCCATGTGTGCAGCTCTTGAGTAGTGGAGAAGGCCCAACAGAGAACACTGTGGGACTGGGTAAGACCAAAAGGGACCAAGGGAATGTGAATCCCACGAAAAAACCTACTGTGGCAGTTTTATATCTTCCCTGTTGAGTCTTAATATATTGATGTATCCACCAGTCTCCAAAAACTAGAAAAGTTCATGTGAAAAATCACTTGATACATTAATGTCCAAGACATGTTGCCATTGCTAGACTATTTTCCATATTTTCTGGGGATAACTGTTGTGGCTCTCAACAGTGTGATCCACAGGCACTGGGCACTGTTGTGAAGACCATGGATTGGCCTGTCCAACAAGGATTGCCACTGCCCAGTTCATACCTGGGCAAGCTCTCACATGCAAGGGAGTCTCCATTTTCAGATGTACCATGTAAAAGCCACACCATCTCCCTCACCTCTCATTCCTAAAGTTTCAACACATACCCAATAGATTCTCCCACTCTTCCTCTGGACTAGGGAGGGAGGTCTCATAGCTGGCCTTCCTTATTCCTCCCTCTCAAAGCAACCTTAACATTTATTCCAAAGGGACTGCGTCCCAAAATGACATTTAAGGGGATTTCACGATGTTTCAAAGGAATACCCATTTTTTTGTTATCTTTGGTGGAAGAAGGGGAGGGAAGAACTGGTTGTGTCCACTCTGTATCTTGCTCAGTAAACTAGCAGAGATAAAACAGTTTTTTAGCAAATACTTCCACAATAGCTGCAGCAAATATCCAGACTGTGCAATACTCAAAGTGGAAGATACCAACGAGGCCCACACATCCTTAAAAATAAGGGAAGTTTACAAAGCCCTTGAAGACTTTATAAACACCTATTCCTCCATAAGGACCTATCTTCTGTCCTCTGCTCTGTTTTCAAAGTCACTCAATGTTACTAGAAGGTCACTATGGAGCTTTGGCAAACAAATCTAACCTAGGAGCTTCCCAGGATGAGGAACCGCTCCTGAAGTGTTTTCTGTAGACCCAGCACATTGATACACACACAGAGATAAGACTAAGGCAAAAAAACTCATAGGACACAATTGAAGAGATGAGCCCACAGCAAGACCCATGTGAGAGGAGTGTGCTACCTGACAAACCATAAAGTGATGAGTCAATCTTTCCATAAGAGAGAGCAAGAAACAGAATGAAGGGGTTCCCACACTGAAAACAGAGAAGAAAGACGGATTTGGCTCTTCCTGGATCTGTCTGATCATTCCTGCTTTGAAAAGCAAGTGCCAACTGCTTCCACTGGAGGAGAGCTGCAGGCTGCCTGTTGCCTTCACCAACAAACACTGGGGATGGAGAGGGAAGGAAATCCACACACGGGCCATGAGCACCACTTGATTAGCACCAACGCCGGGACCTGAAGGAATAGATTTCCTAGCACTAGAGACACTCCTTTCTGGAGGACCAAGAGCATTGATAGGGATCTCACTTCTCCCTTGAGGACTACACAAAAAAAATTAAAAAAGGTTAGGCAGGTGTCCCCAAGGCGTAATAAAAGTGTCCTACAGGAGATTCCAGTGTTTTATTTCATCAGAAAAGAGGAACGCAGCCTGCTCCTGAAGGAATGAGATTATCACAAAGCAGGAAAAAGCACATAGTACTAACAGCAGTGAATATACCACACACACACACCATTCATGAGCACCACATCTCAAAAGTTTCTGATTCCACCTATACCAGCAGGATGATGCTCCTTATGAGCTGGATGGTCACTGGCACACTTAGGAAGAAAGCCAGAACACATCATTCCTATTCTGCCCCTCTCTACCCTCTCAAAAGAAGGCAGCACACTGAAATGTGGTGACACACTGACACTTGTGAGACAGAACTGACGCTCTTTAGTCAGAGCACCTGTACAGGCACAGCACCTACGAGCTGAGGGAGATCAGCACACCCTGTGGCACAACACACCACCAGGCTAAATTCCACTCGTGGGAAGTCCCCAGGCTGAAAATCTCTGTTGTGACTCACTGAGAAGTCTATTGCTAAAAAGCAACATTTTCAGTGACACTACAAGATGTAGTGTCACACAAATCCACGTGAAACGGTAGAATTGGGAAATTGGGAAACCTTTCCTTCTATCAACCAAACCACCTTGCAAGACTAAGAAAATTGAAACCAGGTTTGGTTTGAAGAGCTCAGAAACATGATACCAACAGGTATTGAAGTCCCCACCCCTCAAAACACACAGTGGTTCTTGAACTTGTCATGAAAGCAGCCATCAGAGTGACAGTGTGACTTCAGTGCTTCATGCAGCGTTCCGGTTCCCTGTTAAATCCTAGATGCACGTCAAGGTCATGGTGTTCATCTCGAGAGTCCTCAGTGGGTCAGACCCAGGTTACCGGATACCCCCTCTCCCGGAATGCAGGGAAAGCACAATGACTACGGGCACGTCCAGCAATGTCAGCTTGGGCGCCACGAGCAACACCGACACCATGGCAAGAGACTGAGCCCCAAAGCTTCAGGAGACACGGCCACGCACACAGGAGCATCGTTTCCACCCCGCCGAAAAGGAGAAACTCTCAGCCTCCTGCCTGAAACCCGAACACCACGGAGTTATCCCAGCGTAACGCGACGGACGCGCTCCCTCCCCAGAGACCTCGGCGGAGCGGGCTGGCTTTTGCCATGCGGCTGGACAGGCACCCGCTGGCCCCGCGCAGGATGCCGTGCCCAGCCCCGGCCGGCACCTGACCTCCTGAGGTGGCCGACACCCTCCGTGGGTTTCCCCAGAGCCCGGCCCGCCACAAGGCCGTGCCTTCGCACCTCGGCCCCCGCCCGACACCGGGACCGGCGGCGGCGACCCCGCTACCACCCGGCGGGGCCGCTCCCTCCGGCGGAGCCTCTCAGGGCTCGGGGCTCCCCCGCCCCTGCCGTGCACAGCGCAGCGAGGCCACTGCCCGCCCCTCCCGCGGCGGCAGCCCCGGGCATCGCCGCGACCCCCGGCCCGGGCAGGTCCCCCCGCCGAGGAGGTGGCCGCGTCCGCCCCTGCACTGCAGCTGCCGGCACGCCGCCCCCCCACTCCCCGCCGCCCCTCTCGGCAGTTGGTTCGCCCCACCCGGCCCACCTTCTCATTGGTGGCACCGGGCCGTCACTCCGCCGCTGGCCCGCCCACCCCCGCGGGCACGCTGGGAACCCGAGTCCCGCGCGCGGGACTCTCTCCCTTCGGCTGGAGGCGCCGGGTGGGGCGGCAAACTACATCTCCCGCAGTGCCCCGCGCGCAGCCTCGGCACGGCCCGGCCCGGTGCGGTCCCCGGTCCCGCATCTCGGAGGCCGCCAGCGGGACGCTCGCTCCGTCCCTCCCTTCCCCCCCCGTGCCCGCCGCGGCGCGGCCCGGCCCGGCCCGCCCAGCTCACCTGGCCCCGCCGCCGCCGGCGCCTCCCGCTGCGGCCGGCGCAGGCAGCGCATGCCCCACGCCCTTCAGTGCGGCTCGTCGGGCGCGGTGCCGCCGGCCCGGCGCGCTGCGGCTGCGGCTGTGGGACGGGCCGGCCCCGAGCGCATCCTCCCCCTCGGAGCCGCGGCGGGCGGCGGGATTCGCCCACAATGCACCGCGCGCCGCACCGACAGCATCAGCCTGACATCACCCGCGGGCCGTCCCCGCCCGGCCGGGCCCGCCCCGGGCCCGCCTCCACCGTCAGCCGGCACCGGGCACCGAGTGGCGGCACATGCGGCTGGGCACCGCAGCGCGCCGCCGCTCCGCGTGCTGGGAAGCGCACTGGCGTGGGACTCGGCCCGGGACTGGGAACAGGAGCTGCAGGGCGCTGCCCCGCCCTAGGACCGGGAACGGGACCGGCATCGGCAGTGCCAGCGCGATCGCCGGCCCTGCCAGGACAGGGACCGGTGCCTGTCTCTGCGCTGGTGGCATCAGAGCTGGCATCGCCCTGGGCACCGCACTGCCCTGGGACCGGGGCCAGCGCTGGCACAGGCTGCACAGGGCCGGGTGACTGCACTGCTGGGACCAAGGCCAGAGCCAGCACATCTGCCTGAGGCTGGACTTTGCACTGCACGGGGACTGGCAGCGTCACCACTGTGGGCCCAGCGCTGCCCTGTGCTGACCTGCAGCTTTTTACTCCAGTCCTCTGGGCAAGGGCCAAGAAGGGACTGGTGCACTACACTGCACTGCGAGTGGCAGCATCACCACAGTCTGGCCAGGACACTACACTGGGACCAGGACCAGCACCACTGGCAGTGGCCTGGACACTGCACCGCTAGGATCAGAATCATTCCCCATCCATATAGAGCCAGATCTTGCCCTGCCAGGGCTGGGAACAAACCCAGCAGCTCACAGCTGGGTGCAGCACCCAAAAAAGGCTCAGACAAGTGAGCCTGTCCCTGCATGCAGCTGAGCAGTGTGCCTGTCCCTGGGCAGTTTGCCTGTTCCCCTACCCTGAGGGGCACAGCTGTGGCCCTGCTCCAGAGAGGCGCCGTTCTCCCTGCTCCAGCTCACTGCAAATCACATTGTACTTGAAGCACAGATAAGCACGTGGCTCCTACAGATGTGCTGTGCAACGCTCATGGCTCTGCCTTCTTTTCGCTGCAAATCATCCATATTCATGCCTCTGTCCCAAACTGAGGATGGGCACTGTTCTGTGCCTTCACAAAACAAGCTGCAAGGGACGCTGCTGCCAGACCCTCCCTGCAACACACTGGTGCCTTCTCCCTGTCCCCATCAGAGTGTCCCCATCAGACCCAGCCTGGTGCTGATCCATAGATGGAGGTTCCCATCTGTCTCGTGTGTGGGATATCACACCAGCTTCCACAGGGCTGCTGTGCTCCCACATCCCTTGTGGGACATACCTCCCAGCCAAGGCTTTTCCCCCACCAGAGCAGTCCCTTGGGGCCAGGAAATAGAGGGGATTTGTTGTGACAAGACAGTCATGCTTGTGCCAAGGCAGACCCAGCACAACCCTGGCCACCCCCAGCCTCTCAGATCTGGGAGAACAGGGCCACCAGGCCCCCACAATGTTCCTCCACTGGCTGGAGCCCCCTGCATTGAGGACTTGCTGCATGGAAGCATTCCACAGAGACTCCAGGGAATCTCTAGCCCTGTAGCAGCTCATCCTGCAGTCCCAGGGGTTACGACACCCGCAGCTGCACCTCATGCCAAGGTTCCTGTCACTCCAAGGATATGACTGAGAGGTGATTGGCAGTTGCCATGTGGGCTCTCTGTGCTGCAGGTCCACTAGTATTCCCAAGCACTGGTTCATGGTGCTGAGTTGGAGAGGCAAAGGAAGTGGGCAAACCAAAATGAGGCGAGGGAGCTGGTTTTCCCCAAGAGGTCGTCTTTACTTGTCAGTATCCTTCAGATCTCTCTTTCACGGTGCTGCTGGAGCACCAAGCACAGACCCAGCAGTAAATTGGGTTGAGCAACAGTACCAAACTGGAGGGCATGGAAGGGTTTGATGCTGGAGCCTTTAGTCCACCCCCAGGCTGGGCAGCCCCAAGTGCTGCCTAAGGGGAGATGTGGAGATTCATCAGCAAGGACTTTCGGGAACAAAGCACATAGAAAACCCAGTGTGGGCTGCTGATGTGGGAGAGGAGCCAAAAGGGGAAGGAAGTTCTGTGTTGATGGGTGTCAGCAGCAGCACTGAATCCCCTTGGTTTGAAATCCAGCCTTGAGCAGAAAACTCTTGAGAATGGGACAGCTGATGGCCTGGCCTGTACAAGAGCAGTCTAGTTATCTGGATATTTGTAAGTATTGTTTTTCTCCCTTATCACTCATTGGGCATTTATTACACATTCACAAATGGAAGTGCAGCAAATCTACATTTTTCACACAGTTTTGACCTTTTTTTCAGGTGTGACCAGATGTGAGCAGATCTGACAAAGATTCACATTCCGGATTAGCTCAGGTACTCAGCTCCTTCAAACCTGCTGCAGTTCCCATTGCTTTGGACACAAAGTCCATGCTCATCTCTTAAAGTGGTACCTGAGCAACTGCATTTTAGCTTTATTTCATCCTTGGTCTAAACCTCTCTCTAAGCCTGCTCTTCTGCAGATGGAGCTGAATGGGCTTAGAAACCTGCTAGAACAGCCACCTGGGAACATGTCCAATTTAATCTGCAGGCAGAAATGTAGCTGAAACTGATCAAAAGATTTTATTAAAATCTGGGTTAATTGTGACTTGGGAGAATTTCTAACACAGACCAGAGTGTACTTTTGCTCTGTGGTGGTTTTTGTCTGGCCCTGACTTTCTTTGTGGAGTCAGATATCAACTGTGTGCACACCATGTGAGAATACCATTGGAAAGGACAGTTAGGAGCAGATCAGTGAAAACCAAGTGACAGTCCTGGATTCCACAACTTTACTATTCTTCTTTTTAGGTCATTAAAAAACAGCAAAAACAGAGGGATGAGCAACTGCAAAACAGAACACCTCATTGAGTAAGTCTTTTATATACTGACAGGAATCAAAGATGAGACCAATAAGTAACTGGTGGTAGAAAATAGGAGTAGAAAGATGTGGAAAGTTGGGGGGTTTTGGATTTTGGTTTTTTAAGTTTTTTTTTTGTTTTGTTTTTTTGCTATAGTTCTGTCAGCACAAATCTCAGCCCCTAGTCAACCCACTACTGGCATTGCTCATCAGTGCCTGCCATGACATCAGCACAGAAGACCTCACAGAAGATCCAGGCTGAGACCTGCAGCTGTTCAGCAGCTGTGCCTATTACCTGCTAAAATCTCCTGCAGGGCAGTGAGAGTGCCTGGCTGGTCTGGGAGACTGTGCCAGGAGGCTTGGCTGTAGCAGGGAATGATTTCTTCTGCCCTGGCAGCCACAAGCCTTTGGAAGCTGCCACACAGACGTGGCATTTCCAGATGACAGTCACCAGGCTCCTCCAGAGCTGGGAATGCCAGTATTCCTGTTGGGACTCCATAATGCCAGAGGGCCCTAAGAATGGAGAGAGACACAGTGAATGCAGGAAGCAATCCTGTGACCTGTCTTTTATCCAGCACCAGCCTTTCCTGACACACTCAAAATACTTAAAAATGAAAATTGCTGTAACACCCCTTGGTTCTCAAAAAGTCGACAGCCTGATGTGCCAGCCTTCACTCCCTTGTTCAGAAAGTCATGGGTAGAGCAAGTAGGCATTGCAAAATCTCAGGGACTCTTTTCCTCTCTCCTCATCTCTTTTTGAGGCAAGAAAGGAGACTTGGGCTCGTGCTTGGGTCCAGCAACCCATCTCAATGGGGTGATCAGACTGGATTTGGGTTGTGTTGCTGCTGGCCATGGTTTTCTCTGAGGAAAAAGGCAGCCAAAATTTGAGAGCAGGGGATGTTCTGGTGAATCATGAGCAAAACAAAACTTGCTGGTAGAAGAGGAAAATCAGCCTTGGTGGAAGAAAACCAGAGAAGGGCTTCCAGATTTCAAAGGCTGCAAATGAATCAGGTAAGCTTTAAGGCCGAATATTCAAATTCATGCTTTCTTTTTTTTTGACAACTCGTTTGTTTGTTTTGTGAAAAAGCATTCCTCTGAAATCCTGGAAGGGGTAGGACTTTGCCTATGAGTCACCTTTGATAGGAAACTTTTGAGCAATCCTTGGGCAAACCAAGTGAAAGCTGAAGTGCTCTCCGTGCCCCTGTCTGGCACCAGGTGGCACACGTGCTGCCGCTTGGAATTTAGGGCTTGGACAAACCGAAAGTGACAGCCAAAACACAAGGTAGCAATATCGAACTACAGCGGCTATGTACTAATGCCAACTTTACAAGGAAATTAAAATTGTATTTATTCTTGCTTGTTACCTGTAAAACACGGTAGAAATGTTTAACAGTGCCAGAAAATCTCACACAAAAATCACGAAAAAGTGCATGGTGATATATTTAGAACAGAAAACCACCATTTGTTTCTACCACTGCCAGAAGTAGTTTCATAGCATATAGAGTTATTTGAAGTTTTTAATCTTGAACACTAAATGTGCTTTGCCTACCCAAACCCCGGGGGTGAGTGGAGTTGTTGTTCAGCTAGTTTGGCACTTCTTAAGGATGTCCAGACTGTGCCATTCTGAGCTTTCAGACTCTGTGCTGGGAGGCTGGACCAAGCTGTCTAGAAGAATTTGTTTCTTCGTTCCAGAAAAGACCATGTCTCTGCTATAGACAAGGAATAAGCTCTGTGTTACCTGCTGTAAAACCTTGCTACTCATCGTTGAGGGTTGGCACCATGAAGTCGGGGTGAAATCTAGATTAATACGGAGGAAGAAGTGTTGTGATACCAAAGCCAGGAATTCCACGTTTATGGTAATGATGGTGCTCGCAGGGCTGCCAAGTAAAAGTGGATGTGTACCTCTCCTAGAGACACCCACCCCATTTCGAGCAGAGGGGACAGGGTTATGACCGCTGTGTGTGGTGGCGTACGAGGGCACTTTGTCACCTACCCACGACACAAGCTCTGTGTGTGCCTGAGGACTGTGCCACTGGCCGTGCTCACTCTGTGCTCAGCGTCCGCTAGATAGGACAGCGTGCGTGCGTGTGCCGAGAGCCGCTTTTTATGCTAAAGTGCCTGCCTGTGCCTGGGCACCCCTGTTGTGGCCGTGAGGATGTGAACAGGGACGCACCCCTGCCTGCACATCCGTGCAGGTGATGTCCCCAC